ACCATTCCCCAACCCCCAACTCTCTCTCTCTCTCAGTCTCTCTCTTTCTCTCTCTCTCTCTATCTATCTATCTATCTATCTATCTATCTATCTATCTGTCTGTCAGTCTGTCTGTCTATCTATTTATCTATCCTCTCTTGTCTCTCTCTTTCTATCTGTGTCCTCTCACTCTCTTTTACGTACACACACTCTCTCCCTCCCTCTCCCCCCCTCTCTCTCTCTCTCTCTCTGTCTCTCCACCACCCTTCTTCATCGTAAATCCCCATTCCAAACTTCCGCACCAGAATTGACTTTACATGTACCTACAATGTATTATAACACCACAGACTGCTACCTTCACGGCTGCAAGAAACCCTCTCTGATCAAATACCCTGTAAAGTACGTCTTCACCCCCGCCATCGATCACCCGAGTTCCCGGCCTTTCTGTTGGTATTGCCTCAGAATGAGACTGACGACTACATTTCCACGCTCCTGTCAGGTGATGCTCAAATCTCTGTTGTTTCTGCTCCTGTCTGTATGAATTTAACGCTCAACTCCCCGCCGGTGTGATGTAGGCGATTCCGGACTTGATCAACCACTCGGACTGGCGCGTGCCGTATGGCAGTTAGGAGCTCCGCTGTCACATGTAGAAGGCCTGGGTTCGAATCCTGTGGGGAAGAACTTTTAATCAAGTGTTTCGGTCTCTCTGCTGGGACGTAGTATCGATCTTAGACAGGTATGGTCCCTTCAGATAGGGTCGAAGCCCACTTCCTAAATTTTCTAACTTGTTTTGGTGGGGGCGAGAAAACATCTAAATTTTAGCCACTCGAAAGGTCGAAGACTGAATCCCAGTAGTGTCGTAAATAATCTCGCCCTCCCTAAAACATTTCTTATTATAGCCCCGTGTCAGGACTTGACTAAATGATCACTTTTTCACAACAAAATGTACAGAAGAATTAATCTACTTGTCGGACCTTAATCATTTACTACAGTAAACTGTCAGCTTCTAGAAACTTACGTGGCTTAAGTTTGAGTAAACAGAAGGACAATTACGGCGTTAAAGAACGAAGACTACCATACAGAAATATTGGGAGAAAGGAAAGAAGAAACTACTGGCTGCACCCTCAAAACATCTGCACTTTAAGGGGACCAATAATATTTTCTTTTAAGTTGTATCGGCCTAGAGAGAAAAAAAGCATCATCCCTGGGTAATCTCAGATGACAGAAACTTACATAAGTCTCAGTTAAAGTCAATTTCAGATTCAAATCCGACAGAGGGTCCAAATCAACAAACACTATCAGATCGTAATGGCGACTGGATCGCAGGCTAAAACAAACAAAACGAAAAACAAATAGACAGGGGTTGTAAAAATCTATGACACCTCTCCTTATCACCTCTGGAACATCTTTTTTCTCTCTTTCATGCCCGCATCCTGTGAGGGAAGAAGCTCCACATTTTACGAGATGACCTACATTCTTTCTTCCGTCCGACTGCACTTCAAAAACATTCACTTTTTTCTCTTCATAAAAACACGTCAACCCCAGAGGACTCTCATTACCCAGTACTACTATTACGGGAAAGTCGGACAGCTGCAATCAGCGATGTTAGAGACGTAAGCCCCTGACAACGAGGAGTGATTGGAACAGGAAGAGACAAGTGAATCTCTCAACAGCGCAGAGGGAAGTGCAATCATCGTTGTTGTACTCGTAGGTGTCGGGGAATTGGTTCATGCAGAAGTAGTGTGGGTTACGATGATTGTAGAATGTTTTACGCCTCTATTGACACAATTTAGCTTTTAATTAAACGGTGCAGGCTGCTTCGTCCCTGGATGGGATACAGTAACCCAAACAAAAGGACAAAGATGCTTGACCGAGATACGTTAAGTCCTCATTCAAGAATCAAAATCGTGTCCTTTTACTTTGAGTGCAAAGGCAGGGAGCCTTGTCATTATACCAATGATGTCAGTACGGTTTACTATTCCTTAGAAATAGAAAGCAGGTCTTGTGATTTTCTCAAATACTGGGAGTCGTACACCCCCAAATAGCTTACACATTGCACAGAATGAGCGTTAGTCTGTCAACTACCTGGACACTAGAGGAAGATGGGAAATAAATCAGGAAGAACAATCTGACCCAGTCAGACTGGAACATCTAACTGCCACGATTCTTATTCGTAACTACCTATAATAATAATGATTATGATGATGATAATAAGAACAACAACAACAACAACAACAATAATAATAATAATAATAATAATAATAATAATAATAATAATAATAATAATAATAATAATGATACTAATAATAACAATAATAATAATGATAATAAAAAATATTTTTAAAAATAATAATAATAGTAATAAGAAAGAATATAAGAAAAAAAGAACTAGGAAAGAGGAAAAAAAGAACTAGAAGAAGAACAACTACAACACCAACAGCTATGACATAATGACAACAAAAAGTGGCATAAAAAAAGGAAGGAAAATTTAGAGCGGTGGATTTCGTCTATCTTTCTAGTGCAACAAATTCTGCACATTTGGCGAATTCTGCCTTGCTGAATCACATGTGGAGACGCGGCGTTTATATCCAAAACCATCAAAACTTTGATGAAATTCCTGGCTTCACTGAATTCCGAAGCTTACCTATCGCTCTCCGGGGAGACGTCTTAGTTGACAATGTTTACTTTCTGTCTATAAAATCAACTCACTGAGGTATCATTCCAGACTAAATGACCCTTCATTTCTTTCTCCACCAGTGATCACAGACGGCTATCAACGATTTATTCACACAAACCTACGACCATCTCGTAGGACGGAACAAATAAACATTACACAGATCAGATCCTAGCAATTATATCCCTGCCCCGACATCTGAGGGTGACTTGTCAATGAAGGTGTGGCATTGTGTGGGTTTAATTGTGACTGCAATTGTAAGTGTTTTTCCGCACCCGTCGACATGACTTAGATCAAGGCTCGTTAACGTTTTTACAACCAACCCCCACTTTTGCCACCTTTAAATTTCTTACCGCCTCCTTACGTGAATTAACAAGCATGGGATTAAATATTTTGTCAACCATCAATGTAACCAAATCGCCCACTAGGTTAGCAAGCGCTGATTTAGATCGTTTAGGAGGTTGTCTGTTTCGCGTTGTCTGACAGGATCAACCCCAGCCGAGTGAGATACATCTCAGAAAACAGACGGTGATGCTGGATTGAAGAAAAAAAACAACCAAAAAAACAACCCCTTCCTAACTCGGGAATCGAACTCACGTCTTTTGTGTGCGGCGGTAACACTGAATTGTATGAATGCAACAGTCCTTTCAACACTGGAATGTTTTTTAAGAAGGACACCAGAATCCAACGTCCATTTTCGACAGGACAGAGACAAGAGTATTCACAGCCTCAAAGCTCCACAAACCACCTAGATTTAATTCTAAAAAAAGCCCCGCACAATTAGGGAATCGAACCAGGGCCATCAGTACGGTAATCCAGAATGGCACGGACTGAGTTGTCGGCAAATCCCACGCAGACAAAAAAACAGAGAGTGTGAATAAGGAAATATAAAGGGTAGAGCCATGTAGCAGAGATAATTGCTTTCACGTCATAATTGTTTCACAGCGAAAATTGATTTGGGAAGTCGGCCACAATAACATCGGCCGGGCCCCGTGGGAGTTTGTTGCCCAGAGTTCTCCAAATCCTAACTTCCGGTACAAATGAGACACGACAACTGGTCGTATTTCCTAAGGGATGCCTCTCTCTAAGTACACTCACTCTATTTGATGATTTTTGTGGTCGTTTCTTGCTATTGGGGTGGCTGTTATTATTGTTATTATTACTGTTATTATTATTATTATTATTAT